ATAAACCATGTGAACATCAGTCTCCATGACTCTTAAGATCAGAACTAGATGGTGACTGGCTACTACCACCAACTCTACTGAAAGGGATCGCATTAGGTGGTCCTGAATAGAGTGGGAGAAACTATGTTAACAAAATTTAAAAATCCTAAAAGAAACCAGAACCCATGAGACTATGGCCCTTGGTCACCCTTCAGGTCTGGAACCAAACTCCCCACGGTGGCTCAATCAGTTGAGATCAAAAGGGCAGTATTTACACCAAGCACAAAATTAGGAAGGTTTAGGAAAGGAGGAGGAATGCAAATAGGAAACATAGGGAGTAAATGGAGTAAGCGATACATTGAGGGGACTGTAATTAGATGAAGCATGAATTGTTGAATATAAAACTGGTATGTTCTATAAACCTTCACCTATTCACAATAAAGGTTAAAAAAATACAATTTTTTTTAAGTCAAATTTGAATTTATATTAAGACTGATTTGCATTCTCTTCTGACCTTGTCTTTGTATTAGTAATCATTTGTACTCCAGCGCTTTCTTCCCTTCCCGAGACTGTTTAGTCCTGGCTTCCCCTACCCTCCCACTCCATATTTAATCTTTAGGCAAATCATTTTACTCACACTCATAGCTTCAGTTGCCTCCTATATGCAAATGAGTAAATGGTCCATCCCACTGATCAAATCCTACCATCAATGGAAGATGTTCATTAAAATATTTCAGTTAACATACATTTCCCTTCACATATGCACTAAAACCCAGGATTTCTTACCAGTTGCTCTACTTTATCATTAATGCTCCACTTCATCCCTTTGCTTTTAATATAATCAGATATTTCTCTTTTCCTTCAGCCCCCACATCTAGGTCATTAACTGATTATCCAGCTATTCCTTAGGCTCCCTTCTTTAAAACAATTACAGCCATGAATCATCTCATGCTTAGCCTACCAAAGCAGCCTACAAGCTAGCTGAGTTTACTCTAGTTCTATTATTACACCCCTCCCCTGGGCTATCTTTCAAGCAACTGGCAAAATCTGTACTTGTCATAGCTCTCCCATTTAGAAAAATATACCAACTCCTTGCTAACTACCCATCTCTATACAGTAGCCACCAAATTGTACTCCATTTGCAGATATTTCATTTTCTCTGCAAGCGATGTATTTCCCATCACTGATTGTTTGATCTGTAAAACTCAGAAAGATAAATCCAACAGTCCATACATTTTAAATGAAAACCCAATTTGTACTATTACAGTTAGATCCAAGTTATTAAATTTTTATCCTTTGATAGCCTTTACTTCATCTTTCTCACCACTGGCATGTAAACAAAGCTTTCGCCAGCAAGGGCTGGGTTTATTACACCAGTTCTTCTTTCTGCTCTTGGCCCCAAGCACACCACTTTGCATATTAAAAAAAAAACTAGACATAAGCTATTGTTCTGTACAGAAATCTGAATGGGTAATAATGGCAGATGACAAAAACATTAAAAGCCTTTAATTTCTTGTATAGTTAAAGCTGCTTTAACACTTGGACCTATGTGAATTTACATGAAACCCCTAAAAGATCTGTTTTTTCAGAAATAAACATTTTGACCTATATGCAGAATCTGATAAGGAAAATCAAGTTACACTAGGTTCATCAAAATGTAAAATACAAAAATAAGAATTACTGTCCATAAGTGATGATAAAAATCAAACATGAAATTGGTATATTTTTCTAAAATCATGGAATTTTCCTAAATGGAAAGCTGTGAAGTTTAACAGACTTTTTCATACTTCTAGAGCTTTGTCCTGGTTTGTCACTGCTGTAGAATAAACACTGAAGTACTAAAGGCAATGTTGGCATCTTAAACCCACCAGCCGCTCTTTGGAAACTCTATACAAAGTCGCTATGAGTCAGAACTGACTCAAAGGCACTTAAGAAGAGCTTTGCTTATTTGCTGCCCATATGTCTTCCACAAGCTTCATGCAAAGAAGCACATCCCTGCTATCCTCAGCAACATGAACATTGGAACATGGTACACAGGCAATACATTTAGTGAACGATGAATGCGTCTGATGACTTTTGGAAACAAATACCAGGTAAATATCCCTAACTGTGGATAAAATCTAGAATTCTTCTATAAGCCATTTACAAAGATGTTTTAAGGGAGTTCAAAATATTTGCAATATGAATACTTTAAACAGACCTGTGAATTCTTCTTTCAATAATTAAGATAACATTTAATTCTATTCTCAAGCTACTACACTTTCAGACATTTCTAAAATACGAATGTGTTGATACAATAGAAAAATTAGTCAAGATTCATTTCAATTCCTTTAAATTACAATGTTAAGGGGCTCACTGATGGTTTAAGAGATAAGTTTGATTACCCCTTAAAATTCCTAAGTTAAGGTAGTAGGGATTTGATTAATTAAAAACTATTAACTCCTTCTTCACATGTCTAAGACTTGAGACGAAAAAATCTTACAGTGGTTAAGTTTTAATTCTAAGTTTGCTGCTCCACGTCTAAAGAGAGATGATTTAAAACACAAAGCACAGCTTAATTTTTAAGTGGAAGTTTCAGAACTTTCTGCTCACCATGTTCATATGTGATAGATTATATATCTACATTTAAGAAAAAGAGATTTTTTTTAAAAAAGGAAAAAATGTTAAGTGAAATATTACCCTGGTTTTCTCCTAAATGTCCTTGTTGTTATTAAATGCTGTCAATTCCGACTCACATCGACCCTGTAGAGTTTCTGAGGAGCAGCTGGTGAGCTTGAATCACCGACCTTGAAGTTCAATGACTTTGCAATCTGGTACATTAACCCACAGCACCACACCAGGACTCCTTGGGAACGTGAAAATTAATTCATGACTTTTTATGACTGAACTGTTTTCTTATTTTCCTATCTAAGCATTAGAAAAGTCCACTTACAGATGATATGCATTCCTAAGCTATAGTTTACTGCTTAGTAAGGAAGTAGATGTGTTTTGCCACAGTCCTATTTCTTTTAGCATTTGAAAAAGTAGCCTGGAGATGAGCACTGGTGTTCACCTTACTCTCTGGTTAACTCCTGTGAAGTCAGTGCTGTTAGGAAGTCCGTTTTACATGAGCTCAAGATACCTAACTAAGGTCATATGCTAGAATTGGCAGAGGTTGGGATAGAAACTCGTACGTCTGGGTCCAGAGCCTGTATTCTTATTCTATATATTAATTGTTTAATTTGTATCACTAAAACTCACCTAAAAACTAATCAGTGCTTCCCATCCAGAGTGATTTTGCCCTTCAAACTCACTACCCCAACTTGGGGGACCATCTGGCAATGTCTGTAGACATTTTTGGTTGTCATAAGTTGGGGTGGGATGTTCCTGACATCTTAGTGAGTAGAGGGCAGGGATAATCCTAAATATTCTACATTGCATGGGGGTGCTTTCCAGCCCTGCTCTTAGCAACCTTGCAATAGGTTATAAATTCCAAGAGTGCAGGGCCCTGATTGATCTTGGTTGCTACTGTAACCTTAATCCTAGAAAATGTTTGACACAGTATTTAAGTATCTATTGAATTAATAATCATCCATTTTGAAGAGCCTAGATAGTACATTTCTGGTAGGCAGCAAATATTAAAGATACTTGAATTAATGGTGGTGGTAACAAAGAGTCAAGTGCATGCACGATATTGTATACTGATTGATTTTAACTCATAGTGACCCCATGTGACAGAGAACTGTCCCATACGGTTTTCTAGACTGTGATCTTTATGGAAGCAGATTGCTAGGACTTTCTCCTCCTGAGCTGCTGGGAGGGTTTGCACCACCAATCTTTCAGTTAACAGACAGGTGTTTTAACCAGTACACCACTAGGATTCCTTAAATGGATGTAACCATCCCTGTCACTGCATTGATTTCAACTCTTAACAAACACCCCAGTATGGGTTACTGAGACTGTAAATCTTTACTACAGTAGACCTCATCTTTCTCCCAATGTTGCCACCAAAACAAAATTCAAGCCCACTGAGTTGATTCCCACTCCCAGGAAGCCTGTATAGGGTTTGTTAGGTGTAGATCTTTACAGGAGCAAAAAGCTTCCTCATGATTCTGAGGGACTGCTGACCTATGGTCAGCAATCCAGCACACGCTCTCCAGTGCCACCAGGCCTCTTCAAATGCACTCACAGGTCATAAAACATTCAGGGGTCCTACTCCACAGACCCACTTTTTAGGTTTAATTTTCTCCCCAAAAAATATACATATAAAACCAGTTTTGGCAAAGCAAGTCTCTTATTTAAATGGGCTTTTGGAAGAACAAATGTATATTTTTCTTCAGGTCTTTAAATACATGTGAGTAAAATATGTGAAGGTAAATACGTAAGGAATAAGATTTTTTTCCCTTTAAAAATGAAAACCTTTAAATGTCTAGGTCAAACAGAATATATTTAGGGGGTTAACAGAAATCTCTAAATGAGATAGCATTACTAATTAATTGCTGATATGCTTCAATGACTATTAAATAGTTGAGATAGTTTCAGAGCTTATTTACAAGTTTTACAAAAGAATTAAATTACAGTACACGTAAGACAGAGACAGATGTTATCCAAAAAGAAAGTAGTACCGAGTCCACTTCATTCAAAGATCTTTATAACCATAATATTCTATGTATAACTTCATCCTACGTTTAAAAAAAAAAAATCCATCAGTGTAACATAGTAAGAATTGTCAATCCTTCTTCCTTCAACCCAAAGAGCTATTGATCGTTACCCAGAAGGCATTTGCTTATAAGTAATATTGCTTGATTTACAAAATTCTCTCCCCCAAGGAAAAGTTCAAAAGGTAGTTATGTGGATTTTCAAACAATACTAGGAAAAAAATCTTTCACTCATCATTCCTATAATTAATGAGTTTAGCTTGCCCAAATGTCAAATTATAAAACCACAATGTGTAAAACGCACCTATTACATTTAAAAAGTTAAACCCATATTTATTTACTAGCATTGTAACACATTACACAAAACATTCAAGTGGCAAGTAATTATAATGCAAGCCCTTGCATGGCAATCCAAATTTATTGAACTACTGATGCTAAGTTATACAAAATTGCACCACTTTAATTAAGGCTTTTAGTTTACATTTGGCCACCTCAAAGTAGTTGTAACATTAGGTTGGTCAATTTAAATACTGTGGCTCCCTGTTGGATAGACACACAATCTTTACACCCAAACAAATGCATACAAAGCAACAAGGCATTGTTAAATAAAACAGCAATAGTTACTGCAACTTAGGCCTTGTGACCAATTACACATGATTAAAATTACTTCCCACATTCACATCCACAGTACTCGTCCACCATTTAACATCTCAACCAAAACGTTACACATGTGAAACAATCACTAACAGGCAAAAATACTAAACCTGTATATTTGGTATTGCAAATACACTTATGCAGGAGCAAGCAAGGGATTCACAGTGAGAATCTACAGCTGCAGAAGCCTGAAAATGATTTACAAAATTGTTAAATCATTAAAAAATTGTTTGAAAATATATACTTCTAGTTGTAGACCCTCACTGTATACACAACTATAAACATTGTTCCCTATGTAAACAAAAAAGGAAACATATAAGAAATTTGAAAAGTCTGGACATTTCCTTCCCAACAGATATTAAAGGCAACGTCTTTAGTCTAAGACATTATACTGAAAGGACTATCATATTTTAAAGACAAGATCACTGTCTCCACAGGTTTTTCAAAAATTAAAAAAAACTATATAGCTGTGTTAATCAAAGCGCTGATTTTGTACAATACAATGATGACCTTGAATTTCTTAAAAAAACAAAACAAAATACAAACCAACCAATAAGCTACAAGTATCAAAGAAGCAGAGTTATCTTGAGTAGTCTATATAGGAGCTCTTTGGACTTTCTTTTATTATGCTAAAATAGTGGTGCTTTTAAGATTTACATTATTGTACTCTCCAATACAAAGTATGGGGTGTGTTAAAGTATACAGTACACCATTTTCATACATGTACAACATTGGTGGATGAAGAATGTCTCTTAGCAGTAATACTGGATGTAGCCTCTGGTTTTACCAGTTGCATACTCTAGGACTATTATATAAGTAAAAATCTCTCTTGTGATACTGGAAAGTGATCAGAATGTGCAAACTGATGTAGTAGCTTTCATCCGCCTCTTTAAGGGTACCACCACAGGAAAGTCCATTTAAGATGTTGAAGGGTTAACAAAGTTGGAATGCTGGCACTGTTGAATTGGGCAACAGTTCTTCAGACCTGACAAAAGTTAAAAAAAAAAAAAAGTAACATATTAATATAACAATATCATAATCACATTAACATAACATAGGAACACAGTAAGATAACTGTCTTAATGTTTTAAAAATGAATATAATACATTCTTATCCTAATCATTATACTAATGATAATGTAACAAACATATCATATTTCATAACACAATACAGTGTGCGTACACATTTCATCTTTTCATTCCAAAAAGATAAATCCTATTACAATTTAGCTAACCTTATTAGACCAAGATTAAAAGATACCAATACAAACAAAAATTATGAATACTAATCTTGAAGAATGTTTACATAAATCCTAGAATTACAATGTAAATGTAAATGTACATCTAAACTAGAATTTCTACTATCAGGGAATCAAGACCATTCTTCCTTACTTATTCTTTTAATAAGTAAGTTCTCAGAACTACAAAAAAATAGTATTTATTTCATAATGGCTCTTTACCTCTTTACAACTGTCAGTTATATACTGTCGAATTCTAGATTTTAACAGATTCTGTCAACTTTAAGATGGATGTCAGAAAAAGCTGCGATTACAATAAAATCATATGTAATTAAATTTTAATGCTAAGTACTTATTTTGAATGATTTTTTGCTATGTGCCTAGACTGGAAAAAAATGTTTTTATTCCTTCTGGAGTTCAGGTTTATTGCAAGTTCCAGTAACAGTTGTTAATATAGATATGGTTGCTGAAATCATTTGCACAAATGTGTTGAACTTCAGATCTCATTCAGAGCCTGAAATCTCCACAAGCTGGCAATCTAGTGTTTTAAATGCTAGCATTCTGTATGTAGCAAATTGGGAAGGGCAGATGGAGTGTGCGACTTCAGGCACATGTGTGCTGTTGGGCTGGGCACATGGACAGGAATGAGGGTATCAGCAATGAGACAATATACTTGTTAAACAGAAAGCCTTAAATGGAAGGTTGGTACAGATACTCCAAAGAGAGACCAAATCAGAGTACTATGGTAGCAAAGGTCATTTTACACAGGGGGATACAAGGTCACAAGCCACAGAAATTCTCAAGGATGAAAACACAGTAAATGATGGTTTAATAGTAACTGAGCAAGAAATCATCTTTGACATAACAGCAGGAACTTACAGCTGAGTGCTTATTATGTGCTACACAGTGATCTACATGCTTTATAAGCATTAACTCATTTAATACGATTATTTTCAAATTCTATATAAAAATGAATGCTCAGTTTTCCTTTGTTGTCGCACCTTTGGGCTTTTGTCATGAGTGGTTTGAACCACAAAGTTGGCAGTTCAAGCTCACCAGCTGCTCCTTGGAAACCCTATACAGTGTCACTGTGAGTTGGAAACAATTTGACAGCACTTAACATCAAAATAAGTAAAATTTTCAACAGACCACCAGGCATGTCTTCTGAGGTATACCTAGGTGGTTTCGAACCCACCAACCTTTCAGCTAAGGTAATGCTTAGCCATTTGTGTCGCACCAGGGACACATTTCAAAATGCCTGAAATATGGTAAATGTCCTAAAGGTTAGATGATGTTATTAGTGCTGCTCTAGATTTAGGAACCCTGGAGGCACAGTGGTTAACTGCTGAGCTGCTAACAGAAAGGTCAGTGGTTTGAACCCACTAGCTACTCTGAGGCAGAAAGATGTGACAGTCTGCTTCTGGAAAGAATGAAACTTTAGAAATTCTACAGGGCAATTCTACCCTGCCCTACATGGTCGCTATGAGTCAGAATTGACTCACAGGTAAAGAGCTTGGTTTTGTGGCTTTATCCCACCATAGCACCTATTGCTTGTCTACTTCTTTCTCTAGACTTTAATGAAGGTGAGCAGCTAAGGGCAGAAGAGAGATGACTGAACATACCTGGCTCAGAGCTACAATGTATTTAGTACATTAAAGCAGCTGACATGACGACTTTTTGCGGGCCTTCCCAGGCACAGGAGTTTTTCTGTTAATTTGCCGCACTAGGTCATAAAAGATCTGCAAATATATTAATTAAAAAAAATTTATAGGAGAAAGAAACCAAAAGAAAGTAAACCAACAACAAAAACCTAAAAAAAAAAAAAAAAGAAAAAAAAGTAGGATTTCCATGCATATGAAGTGAACCCAAAGAGCAAATATTCTGTTCAGTTAATGAGTGACAGTAAAACCAGTTATTCTTATGCACTTACTGAGTTCTTTTCTATTACTTTGTTGTTTCAAAGGGTCTAATTTTTTTCTCCTTAAAATAAGTACTGAGTTGAATGCATCTCAGAATACTTAGTTTCATCAGAATATTTACCATCATATAAAAAAGCCAATAATTTAATTCTCTTCACATCTTTCTATATGTCACTTCAAGCTCCCTTCAAGGCAGGAATCACATAGATAACAGGTCTTTCTGAATTTCTGTCCTCATATTTTATATAATATCCTTCATAAATCTGAAGACTTCAATCTGTTTTCCACACGCCTATCATTTCTGCCTGCTCTTTTCTTCATACTAAATTTAACAGAGACTCAAACAGCTTAATGACATACATATATCTAGCATAAGAATTTTTTTGTTTATAAGATCAATATAGTACTCTTGAGTACACATTTAGAGTACACATCAGGCTGTATTAACACATAAACATTATTTCTCATTAATTATAAATACTGAACTCCAAAACAACTTCTTTTAAGTATAACATGTGGCATACATACCTCATTAACATTTATTTTTGACTTTGCAGAAGATTCTAAGAATGCACAGTTGTTCCACTGTCGTGCTAGATTTTGACCTTGTTCTTTTCCTACAACTCTTTCATCTTCTAAGTCACATTTATTGCCAACCAGAATCATTGGAACCTAAAAATAAAATTTGTGAGGGTAATAAATAAAAATATGCCCCACAATTTAAAATCCAAAGAATTCTTAGAGAACCCTAATTATTCCGTTTTATGTATGTCAAGAAGTCCTGGTCAGCGGTTCAAGCTCACCAGCAGCTCGTTGGAACCCTGTATAGGGTCACTGTGGGTGGGAACCGACTTGACAGTACTTAGCATCAACATTATGCCACAGAACAAACAGCACTGACAATATACAATAAAATGTAAATGAAATATGAAAGTCTTCACAATATTGATATGTATGACACACTAGTTAAGTCCTGATTTTCAGGTGCATGTATGACGGTGTCAATTGTCTCCACTGCTTGGGAATGTCTAATGGGTAACACCAAAGAAAAGAAGAAAAAGGGAAAAAATTCTCATATATATGTTCAATGTACAATTAAGGAACTTATACATGAAATTTTTAGAAAACTGTGACCTACTTAAGAATGAAAACTTCAAAACAACACTTATTCTGCATGTAGCTGATAACTTCCAGGAAGGTTTACTGTGCAATTTTACAATGAACTTCACTTCCCAAAATGCTTTTCGTATAATTAGTCTCTCTAGCAAGTGAAGAATGTGGTCCTTTGACCATGCAAAGAATCAACTATAAAGAAAAAACATCTAATATATTCTTTAAAGGTCCAGCAGAATCAAACCATATCTGAATTAAATATCCTTTACATTTACAACAAACAACATGTAAAAGATCCAACTTGTATAGTATACAAGAAATCAGACAACAGGCGGTGGGGCTGTAGGAAAGTTAAAAAGCTATTTAACTGCCTTAAGCTAGAAAGCAACATTATAAACCACAGACAATCTATGTTCCAACCAAGCAGCCCTTTCTTAGCCTATTCCTTGCAGCTTTCACACATTCTCAACTTTGCATATTGGCTTACCAGGACCCCCGCACCTGCCCCCAATCTGTAAAACTTTTAGATAACTTCAACACAACTCAAAGGTCTACCATTTTCACCACCAAGCTTCTCCTATCTATACTAGTCCAAATCGACTCCCCCCCCCCCAGAATCGACTCTTAATTGTGTGACAAATACAGTTGATCCCTGAACAAGAGAGGTGGGTGTGGGTACAGGGTGTGGCGCATGACCCTGATGCCCCACTTTGTACAGCTGAAAATACGTTTATAACTTTTAACTTGCCCCAAACTTAACATCTAGCCTACTACTTGCCGGAAGCGTTACTTACTGATAACACAAGCAGTTGAGTGACATATATAGTGTATGTATCATAGAAGGAACCCTGGTGGTGCTGCAGGATAAACACAAAGGATAGGCACAGGACTAGTAATTGCAGTCCTGGTGTGGTGTTATAGGATAAGGCACTGGACTGTTAACCACAAGGTTGGTGGTTCAAACCTACCAGCTGCTCTGCAGAATAAAAATGAGGCTGTCTGCTCCTGTAAAGATTTACAATCTTGGAAACCACATACATGATTCACTATGAGTCAGAACTCACTTTCTGGCAGTGTTTCTTTTCTTTTTTTTAAAAAAATGTATTATATAATGTACATTTAAATGATTACATAAAAGTGGCCACTTCAATATGACATAAATAGTACTTATTTAGAAAAAGTGGTCCTCAGAGTTGTATCCTTTCACCATAATTTGTTGTTGTTATGTGTCGTTATGACCCCTAATGAGATGGATTGGCCAGGTGGTATCAATGATGGACTCAAGTGTGGCAGCGGTAGTGAGGTTGGCCCAGGATCGGACACTGTTTCGTTCTGCTGTGCATGGGGTCGCTATGAGTCGGTTCCAACTCGATGGCACCTGACAACAACAACAACATGTGCCGTGGAGTCGGTTCCGACTCATAGCAATTCTGTACAGGGTTTCCGAGGCTGTAAATCTTTACGGGAGCAGAAAGCCTCATCTTTCTCCCACGGAACGGCTGGTAGTTTCGAACTGCTGACCTTGTGGTTTGCAGCCCAATTCGTAACCACTACGCTACCAGAGCTCCTTTTAGGCAATCTATATGCTGAGCAAATCACCAGAGAAGCTGGACTATATGAACAAGAACATAAAATCAGACCTGGAGGATGGCTTATTAACAATGTGTGATATATAGATGGCACAACTTTGTTTGATGAAAGCAAAGTAGACTTGGAGCACTTACTGATGAAGCTCAAAGAATACAACCTTCAGTATGGACTACAACTCAGTGTAAAGAAAACAAAAATTTTCACAATTGGACCAGTAAACATTTTTCCCTGGATCCATAATCAATGCTCACGGAAGCAGTAGTCAAGAAATCAAATGACATATTACACTGGGCAAATCTGCTGCATAAGATCATTTTAAGGACTAAGGTGAGCCTGACCCAAGCCATAGTATTTTCAATTGACCTCATATGCATGGTAAAGTTGGACAATGAATAATGAAGGCTGTAGAAGAATTGATGCATTTGAATTATGGTGTTGGCAAAGAATATTGAAAATACTATGGAAGGCCAGGAGAACAAATAAATCTTTCTTATAAGAAAGACAGTCAGAATACTCATTAGAAGTGAGGGTTGCAAGTAAGGTAAGTAAGTCTCACATACTTGGACATGTTATCAGGAGGGACCTGTCCCTGAAAAAGGACATCAGGCTTGGTAGGGGGGTGGGTCAGAGAAAAAGAGAAGATGAATTGACACAGAGGCTAAACAAACAAAATAATTGTGAGGATGGCACAGGACCAAGCAGTGTTTCATTCTTCTGTACATGAGGACATTATGAGTTAGAATCGACTCAATGGCATCTAAGAACAATATATATTTTCAGGTATGCAACAAAATGTTAAAAATATACTTTGGAACTGTTGCTGTTCAGTATGGTGGAGTTGGTTACGACTCACAGTGACCCTGCACAGGGTTTCCAAGACTGCAAATCTTTACAGGAGCATAAAGCCTCCTCTTTGTCTTGCGGTACTTTGGAACTAAATACTAAAAATTCAGGAAAGTACTTGCTTCTTAGCTAAAACAAAAAAACAAAAAACAACCAAACAAGGGTCCATATACTCTATTCATTTATCTTGAAATGGCTGTAGCTACACCTAAGGTACATATCAAATTCAACTTTTTCTTGTAACGTCATGACTTTGCTTCTTTGAAGCGTTCATTACCAGTGGCATTTGGTATGGGTTCAATGGTGTTCTTTTTCAAGGTTATGGTATTAGTAAACATGAAGAAAAAAATACATGAGCACTGGGAAAGATCACTATTTATTGCAATATGAAATTTACTGGTGAGAAGAACTACTCATGTGTAATTGTTTAGTATTAGATGGAGCTTAAAAAACAAGGAAAAGTGCGTAAGTGGACCTCTGCACTTGAAATCTGTATTGTTCAGGATCAACTCTATTTGTTTTGCCAATTTTGATTCCTTAATTTTAATTTCTTTACATTTTCAGGGTCAGTCCTAACTATAAACCCATTGCCACTGAGTTGATTCTGACTCATAGTAACCCTATAGAAAGAGTAGAACTGCCCCCCTTTGGGTTTCTATAACAAAATTTTTAAGGGAACAGAAAAGTCTCATCTTTTCTCCTGTGGAGTGGTTGGTGTGTTCAAACTGCTGACCTTGCAATCAGTAGTCCAACATGGTACCCACTATGCCACCAAGGCTCCTTGGTAATGTTGCTGCTGTTGTTAAGTGCTGTTAAGTTGCTTCCAACTCACAGTGATCCTGTGTAGGGTTTCCAAGGAGCAGATGGTGGGTTTGAAGCACCGACCTTGCAGTTAGCAATCCAATGTTTATCCTACAGCAATACACTGGGATCCCAAGGCTCCTTCATATAATATTGTTGTTAGGTGCCATTGAGTCAGTACTGACTCACAGTGATCCTGTGCACAACAGAACAAAACACTGCCTGGTCCTGGCCAACCTCATTACTGTTGCCACACTTAAGTCCATTGATGCTGCCACTTTGACATTCCATCTCACTGGTGGTCTTCATCTTTTTCTCTGATCCTCCACCTTACCAAACATGATATCCTTCTCCAGCGACTGG